CAAAAAAGTAAAAAATAAATAAAATCACAGGATTGTAGAGCTGAAAAGCTGTTCTCCCCCTTCAGTGGCTACCTCACAATTCAGACACTTTCCCAAGGCCTCACCCTTCTTATTGTCCCTGATTGATCAATGGGCTCCATCCTTACAAAATGTCCCTCCTTTCCTTTTTCCTCCCTTGATCCCTTAATCCTTCCTTGGGATCCTCAGTGTCTAGCTCCCTGGAGGAAAGTGACCATGGAGTCCCAGTGAAGGAACAGACCTTGAAGGGAGTATAGTCCAAACCCCTGCCCAGTTTATGAATAGGGATTCACATGTAAGTTGTCTTGAGGAGTGGGAGAAGAAAGCTCAGGGAAGTGGAAAGAGAATATGGAGCCAGAGGACTGGAATTCCCAGTTCTACTACTTGTGTTACATTAAGCAAGTCAATTCACTTTTGTGGGTCTCAATTTCCTTATCTGTAAAATGAGGGGAGTTGGACTAGGAGAACTTTAAGGTCACTAAAAACTTTGTGATCCTATCATCATTAGAAGCCCAAAGAATACAGGATCTGATCTTAAAGTCAGGCCCCAAATAACTAACTCCTCACTCCCTTGGTTATTATATATTATATGTTTATATATTATTATATATTATATAATATACTGTATATTATTATGTGTAATATAGATTTTATATATATGTTGAGTGTCCTGGGGCCAGAGGGGTTGGTTTCACCAGTGTCTTCTGCCTTCCTTAGCTGGAGAGGACTTCACCTCGGTGGTCTCAGAAATCATGATGTACATCCTCCTGGTCTTCCTCACTTTGTGGCTACTCATCGAGATGATTTATTGTTACAGGAAGGTTTCCAAGGCTGAGGAGGCAGCTCAAGAAAATGCGTAAGTCCTTTGATGCCCAAGCCCATCACCTCTCACGGGGGACCACAAGTGTGGCTTGGGAGAACCACGCCTTAGCTTTCTGTCCTGAGGGCAGAAGGCTCAATCTTGTGTTGTAACTGAACTTGGACAAACCTTAAAAAACCCACCTTCTAGTTTTTCTAGGTTGAAACAATCCAGATAAACATGTTCTGGAGTTGTTTGGGGGCATAACCAAACAGTATAGGGAGGGAAAAGAGTTTATTCTGATCCTTCTTCAATACTTCAACATTAAATGTGAAGATACATTACATGCAAAACCTCAAGCAAGTGAGCATACAGTCAACTCTCAATTATCCACACTGATGGAGGCATAAGAACACAAGTCTCCAAATATGGCCACATTCTGATTCTGACTGGGACACCAAAGGAAATTATGTTGGGAAGGAAGAGTCATCCTCCATGTGTTCAGTCTCAAAGGGTTAGGAACATGCCCTAAACATTCTTTACTTCCCTTAACAAGGTGCCCTAGAGCTATAATCCCAAGCTACATTCAAACTTATTGTGAACCTAGTGCCAGTGCCATCACTCGGAATAATGAGTTTCCCAAGTTTACTTTTTATGGTACAAAGGAGTTGTTCTGTTTATTTGTCCTTTTATTTCAAAAAAGACACAATCTCTTTCAAGCTTGAAGGAAGGCCTTAGTTTTAGTGTCCCAGGATTTGGAAAACAATCCATCCCTCTCATGATTCTGTAAATTTCAATCAGATCCCCAAATTACAGAATCTTAGAGTTGGCAATGACCTTGGAGAGGCCATATAGTCCAACCCCTACCTAGGAGATCACCCTCCTTTATAATATCCCAACAAGTGGGAGGTCATCCTACTTCTGCTTGAAGCCCTCTAGGGACAAGTAAGGAACTCACTATCTTTTGAGATAGCCCATTTCATTTTTTTAACAGCTTTCAATGTTATGAAGGTCTTCCGTATACTAAATTGATACCTCTTTCCCTGTAACTTCCCCTTCCATGTTCTAATTCTAGTTTTCTCCTCTTAGGCCAAGTATCATAATCATTCCTAATCTTGCTTCTATGGAATAGCCTTTCAAATGCTTGAAGACAGAGATTATACTCCCTCTAAGGACTCTCTAAGCCAAAGGATCTTAACTAGGGGTCTATGAACCCTTTTTTTTTTTAATTTGGTAACTGTATTTCAATATATTTTCTTTGTAACCCTATTTATTTTATTCATTTAAAAACATTACTCTGAGAAGGAGTCTATAGGCTTCATCAGACAGCCAAAGGTTAAGAGCCTTTGATCTAGGCTAAAAACACTTCAATCTCCCGGGTGTGACCTTTGTAATATGTTCTTAAAGCAAAACCAGATAGGATCATAGATCCAGACCAGAAGAAACGTCAGAGGCTAATTGGTCTAACTCCATCCTTTTTCAGATGCGCAAACTAAGGCCTAAGGAAGTTCAACACCATGGCACATTGGTAGCAAGTATTAGAGACTGGGACTTGAAACTGAGCTCTGACTCTAGAGTTGGTGCTCTTTCTACTGTGCTCCATTGCCTTCCAGAGCTGATTGAATCAAACAGAATTTATGTTACAACCTCTCACATGTGTTAACTCAACTCATTCAAATCATGGACAATTTTTTTGAGCAGACAAAGTTTCCTGGTATCATAGGTGTGAGAATTGAATTTTGTGGATAAGGAAAGTGAAGCTCAGAGAGATTTCATGATTTACAGAAGGCCCAATAGCTGTGTCAGAGGTAGAATGAAGTCTCATGTCTTCCTGACTCCGGGAAGGTTCATCATGGTGGAGTGTAGAGAGTGTTAGACCTGGAATCAGGAAACCAGGGTTTAACTTCTACCTCTAACACTTAGTAGCCATATGACCATGTGAAAATCACTTATGCCCTCTGAACTTCTGTTTCCTCATCTGTGAAATGGGGATAATAAGATCTATAGTACCTACCTCTCAAGGATAATTTTTTTTGGGTGAGGCTCAAATGAAATAACTTATGTAAAACCCTTTACAAACCTTTAAGCTCTGTATAAATATTAGTTATTAATATTATTGATAGTATCACATGGATTTTGTGAGATCAGCAAATGTTTATTGGATTTTGGGATGGGTTTGGCTACTGATATGGATGTGTTGGGCAATCAGGGTTCGAAATACTTCAGTAGAATGCAGTCACACAAAGAAGTTCTGATTCAATGGGAACTGGGGGTGGGGGTAGGAAACTACCTAGCTTTCCTGTTGTGAGACACTCGGAGAAGTTCTCTGTTCTTCATTCCCTGCTGAAGATAGCATTACCTTCCAGAATGGTGCAAAGCACCAGCTTAAAACACATCACTGAAAATGAACTTGCAGTATCAGACTTACTATATTAACCAGCATTTGTTTTTTCTTACCTTTCCTAAATTGAGAGAGGTGATTGTAATTTTTCATTTAAAAGGTTTTCCCCTTGTCTATATTTGAAAGAAAAAATATAGGAGATAATGAGTAGTGTTAATCAGTATCTTTCTAATCTATTTTCCTTGATGATGTCTTTAAGAATTTGAAAGCAAGATTCCCCTCCTCCCCAACTATATATTAAACAATACATATAACCTTCATGGATAATCTAGAGTTGACAGTTGATCATTCTAAAGTTAACAGTTCATGGATATTGTGACCTATCCATCTTGAAAACAAAGGTGGCGAGATTCTGACTCTTTTCCATTAATCCTTTTGGAAAACCACTGGATCACCCAAGGAGGACTGGCCAAGTGATCTTGGGGAACAATGTGCATGGATGAGCTCATATTTGGAAAGTTGCCAACCAGCATATGATAAAATCATAGGCCTTTAAAATTCAAAAGGACCCCAGAGATCACCTAGTTCAATCCCTTCATTTTACAGATGAGGAAATTGAGTCCCAGAGAGATGAAGGGATGTGCCCATGGTTACATCTCTAGTAAGTGACCCACCTGGTGATTATTAGCCCTGTACTCTAAAGGCAGGTGGGGAACCTGCCCATTGGAAAGAAGCTTTCCTATTCCTGGAGTGATTTACAAGTACCACCTGGGTTCTACTGATTTCATTGTTAAGAAAATCGAGGCTAATCATTGTAGCTCAAGGTCACAGGAGATAGTGGGCAGCCACAACTGGAGTTCCTTTCCTCTGAGTGCCAACCTGTTGCTTAACCTTGCCCCCAAAGTCAATGTTTCAGCTTTTTCTACATAGCCACCCAAAGAAGTAAAAATGGAATTGAAGAAAGGGGAAGATTGTACGAGCTTCCAGTCATTTGGGGAGAGTTGAATATAGGCAACCCAACCCTAGCAACCCTCATAATAATTCTCATTGAATCAGTGGTCCTATCTCTGAAGTGATCATCTTTTCTCCTCTCTCAAAAACAGAGCCATAAGGAAGGGGCAAGTCTGTCCTATAGAAAATCTGGCCCCCTAGGCCTTGCCTCCTTCCCCTTCATTTCTCTTTCACTTCTGGAGACTTCAGGGGCTGACCGTCTCCCCTGCCTCTCCTCCCCTAGGTCTGACTACCTCGCCATTCCATCAGAGAACAAGGAGAATTCGGCAGTGCCAGTGGAGGAATAGGAGAAATGGGGTATGGCTCTCAGTCATGAACTAAGACTTGAGGATGGACCACGGCAGAGGGAGGGGTAGGATATGTTCTGGGCTTTATCCCCACCCCTCCTATGAATAACCACATACAAGAAGGCAAGGATCTCTAACTTGGAAGTTATAAATCACCTTCCCTTGGTCTCATACATGCCCCCTCCTGATCCCCATCCTCAGTATTCTACCCCAGGGTGATAAATAGGGGATCAAGGAGCCTTTTTTATAATGCCCCCTCCATAACCAATTTGTCATGGCTCTCTATATAACACACTTTGGCAAAATTGCTCTGGACTTGGGTTTAATGGGAGTTCATGATGAGCTGCTCTGTCATCGTTAGGTGGTCTGATGTCTGACGGGCCCAGATTCTTCAGTATGGATGATGTCAACAACTTCAGGATGGGACCCAGGGACTATCACTGTTTTCATCTATTCATCAACCATCAGACTTTGCTTTATGGCTCCACTCTGAGCTCTACCCACTGAAGGATACCTACTTTGATGGCTAAGTCAAGGGCCCACCATCTCACTCTGGGCTCTGTCTTTCCCCAGCCTAATCTCATGGCACTTAATAGTAGATATGACTCCCTTTGCTCCGCATGGCTTTGTATAATGCTGGTAGCAACTCCTCTTCCTCTACTCCTTCATTACTGTTTATCTGGGTCTGGCCTCCGTTCACTGCTGGACAAGAAGGAACATGGTCTGCTCTTCTGCTATCCCCTCACTTCCCCACTCACAACCACACAAATTAGGTCTGGTCCCTTTCTCCCACAGGATGAAAAAGGGCATCACGTGGTTGGTCCTGATGTCTTAGCAGAAGTAGGGTGTTTCTTCTGTCCCAGAAGTGATCCAAACAAGCCCAGACTGAAGAGTAGCATGAACTTAGATTCCTCGAAGAGGCATTTCTGAATCTCCTGGAACATTAGGTTTGGGGTCAGAACAGAGTAGCTTTTCTGGACCACAGAGGTCTGAAAGAAAGGACAGCGTATATTAGAATATCTTCTGGAACTTTGAGTCCCAGGGCTGGATCTCATCTTATTCCTTGGCCCTAGGCTTTGCCCAGTCATTTCCTAAGTAGTAATTAGGACTACTTAATAAGGGTTCCTCTTCCTCAATATTATCCTTGATATGTCACTTACCCTATCTTTGGTCTTCCTAATAAAAGTCCAGGGGACTGGGAAGAGGGCTGGCAGCAGAGACACTAGTCTCTGTTTAGCAATCTTAGTAGCTTTTTGAAGTCAGGTACCTCATTCCCTGACCATGTTGGGAAAATATACCCATTTCTCAACTTCCCCTGGTTTTTTCCCACAATGGGATTTGGAGCAATCAGCCCTTCTGGTGATATTGAGAAACAGTAGGAAATGTTTTTTTTTTCCAGAGTATTGTGATTGATGACCTTTTACCCCCACTTCTGAGCACTTTTGTGGGTCAGTGTTGTTTTACATGGGATAGTGGATGTTCAAAGAGCAGAAAAGACTTGCATGGGATCACAGAGCACTTTGAGGTAGAAATAGAAAGAGCTTTTGTGAGCTGACTAGTGATTCCTTGGAATGTTTGTCACTTGTGTGAAGACTACAGAACTAGGCTTCGTGATGGTCACACCCCCATCACATTTGGAGGATGTGTAGGAGTTATTGACCATTCCTGAAGAACTCCAGTTATGATTAGTGTCAATTCTTCAATAAACACAGAGTGGATGAAAATGAGCCCCAAATACAGAGGGAAATGGGTTGGCTTAGGATATACTGGAATAAGGACTTCCCATACTAAATTTTTATGGGACTAAAACAAATCTCAGGGGCTCAATCACTGCTTCCCTAAAGATCTTTAAAATGGAAGAAATGGCCTAAGATCATAGGATCATAGGATTTAGAGCTAGAAGGCCAGTCACCCTTATTTTACAGATGAGAAGTCTAGGAGGCTCAGAATGGTTAAGTGATTCTGGTAGTACACGGCAGTTATACCCAGTCAATGGTGTGAAGGTAGATGAACAGAATAGCTGATCTCTTAAGATTCCTTCCAGTAATCTGTGACTCTCCCTCATAAATAAAAGTAGGTTCTTGATTTCTAGTTTTTCTACTCCCAGGTAGAATAAAACAGACCTCATTTTATGGATGGGGAAGTAGACCCAGAGGAGTGCAATGTGTACTGTGAGTTGCTCACAAACATTAATTGAGTTAGTAGCAGACCCTCCAGTGGTCTATTAACCTCCAGTCCAGGGATCTATCTAATAAATCATGCTTTTCCCTTTGATATCAGTCGTAAGTAGTGGAGCGTGGAAACTCTAGGCCAGTGAAACTTGAACATAATAGCCAGTATATATGTAGTGCTTTAAGGTCTGCAAAATACTTGTTATAAAGATTATTTGATCCTCACAACAATGCTGGGAGATAGGTGCTGTTATTATCCTCATTTGATGAATGGAGAAACCAAGGCACAGAGAAATCACACAGCTATTAAATGTCTAAGGCTGAAGCTGTAGTCCAGTCTTCCTGACGTTAGGTGCAATGCCCCACCTAACTGCTTAATATCTAGAAAAGGAAGTGATCATGGAGAGTCAGCATAGATTCATCAAGAACAAGTGGTACTAAATTTATTAGACTACATGAGCACTATGGTGCCTCTCGGCTCTAAATCTATGAACCTAGGACTTTTTTTTGACAGATACACTTAAACCAGGAGAATGTTAAAAAAAAAATATGGTTTTATTGACAAAGTGTCTCATTTTATTTGTGTGGAAAAGATAGAGATGTAGGCTAGACAATAGCTTGATTAGATGGATTTGGAACTGGTTGGAAGGTCAGAGTCAAAGAGCAGTCATTAATGGCAATGGTTCTATGTCAACGTGGAAAGATGTTTCCAGTCTTTGCTTGGCCCATTGCCAGCTAACATTTTTTTAAATTGATGGCTCAAATAAAGGCATACAAGGCCTGTTTATCAAATCTCTGGATGACACAAAACTGGCAGGGAAGGATGCTTTACACATAGGATGACACAGTCAAGATCCAAAGGATCTTAACAGGCTGGAGCAGTGGGCTAGAAGTCTTACCCTGGAGTTCAAAAAGTCAACTTCCCAAGTACAGTGTGGCTAGAAGACAGTTCATCAGAACACCTAGGGGATTTTCTTGAGTTGCCATTTCATTATGAGTCAACAGGGTGATCTTGACCTGTATTTAGTGCATCCGTACACAGTGTCTAAGTCTAGGGAAGTACTAATAATTTTTGTATTCTCTGTCTAGATCAGGCCACATCAGGAATGTCATGTTCAGTTCTAGGCACTACATTTTAGGAAGGATACTGATAAACTGGAGAGTATTCAGGAGAGGGCAACTAGGATGGTGAAATTGATGTGTGAAGATCAGCTAAAGGAACTGAGGATAGATAACCTGGAGAAAAGATCTGATTGAGTTTTACCTTCAAGTATTTGAAAGTAGCTGTCATGTCAGTTTAACATTGTTCTGCTTGCCTCCAAAGAGAGGAACTAGGAGTAATGGGGTGGAACTTGCAGAGGGAAATCCAGGCTTGATGTTTTTAATGATAACGTCTATACCAAAGGGGAATGGGCTGCCTAGGAAGGCTGTGGATTTCGAATGAGATAGCTATAAAGCACTTACCACAATGCCTGGCACAAAGTAGGTACTTGATAACTGCTTGTTCCCTTCCACCCGCCACTTGGAGGATTTAATCAGGAAATGGAGATTCTTTCTGGGAAATGGGTTGAATTGAATGACTTCTGGCATCTCTTCTGTCTCTAACATTCTGAACATACTTATCTTGTTCAGAAAAGCTCCCCAATCCAATGCACACAATATTTCCTGGGTGGTTTGTAAAGAAGCTGGTGTTCCAGCTTTATTCTTCATTCCTTTTATGTTTACTTTCCTCTCCCTTGCCTCTGACTCAAAATTTGTTTCCTTCTCCCACTCTGTAAGATGTGGGGTTCTCATTCAGCCTTCTCCCCTGCTTCTTTCCTCCCTATTTTACCAACAAAAATCCTATTCCCTTTTTTCCCTTTCCCAGTTCTCTGTCCTCACTGCTTCCTGTTCCCTTCTCCACAGCATCTTTTTGCTTCACTTTTGAGATTCCTGGCTCCTTCTCCTTCCATTCCCCCACTAAACCACATTACTCATGAACCCTACCATCTCCTGGGACCTCCCTACTCAAGATCTGCTTTGAAAATCCTCCTCTCCCTGGCTCTTCTTCTATGTCCTCCTCCATTTTATCTCCTACATTTTTCATAGGATTACAGGATTTAGAACTGAATGGGACCTGAGAAATCATCTACACTTCTCATTTTCCTGAAGAGCCTGAGGCCTAGAGGACTCTTCTAAGGTCACATAGATAAATAAGTAGCACGGCCAGGAATGGGATTCCCAGGTCCTAGAGTTAATGTCATCTTAGACTGCCTTGAGACACACGATGTCTAGAATATGGGAGGAGGTAGTCCTACTAGCCTCTGCTCTGATTAGACCACACCTTGTTTTCAGTTCCAGGCATCACCTTTTAAGGAGGGCACTGAGAGAAGTTGGAGAGTGTCCAGAGAAAGGCAACCAGGATTGTGAAGGGCTCTTAGATGGTCACTGGAGGTTCAATTTGAGGAACTGAGAATGGTTAACCTGGACACAAAAGGCTCGTGAGGGGTGGGAGGGGTGGGAGGAGGGCACAAAAGCTGTTTCCTTTTTTGCTTGGCCCCAGAGGGGAGTTACAGAGACAGATTTCAGCTGAATGTAAGGGAAAAGATTCCTGGCAATAAGAGTTATACAAAGGTGGATAGCACACACTGGTGTAGGAAGCTTGGTGGTGCATCAGACTGAATGCTGGACTTGGGAGTCAGGAAGATTTGCGTTCAAATCCTGCCTCTGACACTTCCTATGTGGCCTTGGACAGGTCACTTAATTTCTCTCAGCCTGTTTCCTCATTTGTAAAATAGAGATGACAATAAAAGCAGCTACCTCACAGACTTGTCATGAGAATTGAACAAA